TAAGGTAAGGATTGATTGTGTAATTAGGATTGTTCTAGTTTAGTTTCGTGTTGGTATTTTTAGAAGAAATCGAAGTAAATATATGGATAGTTTTTTGGAGCATGCTTGGAAGGAGAGTTTCCAAAGATTGTTGTTTGAGAGTGATTTTACTTTAATTTGTCATGAATTTTTGAATCAATTGGTATTTTTTGGAGTCTTAGAGGGAATGAGACTAATGTTTACAATTTTGTGAGCACTCATTTTCATGAGAAAAATAATTATGTGATAAGTTAACAAATTTAGCTTTGATTTATAAATAACAATATAAGTGATTTAATGTTTTACTTCTACGTATTCATTTAATTTTTTTTAGGTTTAAACCTCGGTTGGTCCTCAATTTTGTATGGAAATCTCAGTTGTGTCCTCATTTTTGCAACTGTCTCAATTGGGTCATATTTTTTGTATAAATGAGCAAATTTTACCCTAACTGTTAAGTGCTCTCAGATGGCGTTAAATTTAGCTGATGTGTTTATGCTGATGTGCATTATTTGATTAGATGAAATTTTTATTTAAATTAAAAAATTATGACGTGTCAAAATTGAATTAATTTATGTTAAAATAATATGTTAGGGATTGAAAAGGGTCAGAAAATGAAAGAGTAAATTGAAAAGGGAATTAGGGATCTGGACATTAACCACTGAACGTTCTTCATCAAGTCAGGCCACGAGCCTCCCTGCCGGCCGCCGGTCACGGTCGGAGCTTCGCCGGCGGCAATCTCTCTTTGTCTCTCTGTCTCTCTCTTTCTCTCTCCGAAGTTCAGATTCTCTCTTTCGCTCTGTGTTGGAATTGGGTCTCTCCCATCATTGTTGTTGTTATGAGTGATGGGTATGCCCTGCCGCTGTTCCACACCTCACTCGATCAGTAATTCAATTTTTCTGAGTTTCTATCCAAACTTTGTCTTACTAACCATGCCACCAATCATTACAGACTTAACCCTACTGCAAAGAATGAACATTGAACTTCCAGTGCAGGATTAAGTTAACAACCTCCTCCACTATAGCTGTGCAAGAATTCCCTGGTCTGAAAATTACGTCAGTGTTCCTCTGTTGCATTAGCCTCAACTTTCCAACTTAACTGGAATCGCCCGAGCAAGCATCCCTCAAAGACTGTATCCCCCTCTTTCAATTTCCCTTTTGCACACATTCGGAGAACACCCTTGTTTCGTCATCTGTTTCAGACACTCCACCGCCTTTTGGAATTCACCTCTTTTTGAATACCCATCAGTCAAAGTGGTGAAACCCACCGCGCACCCTCCATGTCACCCTTCTTATAAAAACCATGGCCGACGATGCCTCCGATGGTGAACAGCGGTGCTGGTGACGCCTTGGACCGCGACTCGCAACGGCCGATTGGATGGAGGCTGAGGCGGACGCGCATGAGCGGAGGAGATGAGAGCTTCAGGGGTTCCTCTAGTTCCCTTTTGGTTTTAAGTGGAGGATGCAGAAACCATTTGGTCTGGTGGGAGAGGCGAAAAACCGTAATTGGTTTCGGATTGGTAGATTGCAGTTGATTGTCTTCGTCTTCTCTAGGATTCCAATTCCTCTTCTCCCACTGACCAAATTCCTAATTCTCTTTCTCTAATCTTATTTCAGTAAAAATGTTTTAATCTGAAGAATTTGACCCTCGATTGAGGGAGAAAGGGTGTATGTATGGAGAGTGAGGGTTTGAGGGTGGAAGTTGGAAGGAAGCAGTTTGGGCGGAGGAGCGGAAAAGATGAAAGGTGATCAGTGGTTGGAGGGAAGAAGAAGTACCATCGCCACGTGGATTTGATGATTATAAAACACATCACCCATTCAATTTAATGCAGAATGCCACATCATCAAAACATAAAATACAGTTGAGCTAAATTTAACGTCGTCTGAGAGCACTTAATGGTTAGGGTAAAATTTGCTCATTTTTACAAAAAATATGACCCAATTGAGACAGTTTCAAAAATGAGGACCCAACTGAGATTTTCATACAAAATTGATGACCAACCGAGGGTTTAAACCTTTTTTTTAATAATAAGTATACTTTGTTTACCTAAGTGAAGTGTAGTTTTTGTAATGGATTTGGTGGGATCCATACATCACTAATGCATAAAACACATTTGACTTCGTCCAATATGTCTCAATTTCAACAAAACCGAAACTTATCAAAATGTGGTGACATTTTTTAAACTTGGCAGCGAATGATCTTTTCTAACCTTAATCAAGTTCCGTCAATGATGCATGAAGAATCGATGTACAACAGACGATTTAGCCTTTTCTCCTTAATGCAACCATGAGAGGGTTTCTTCTATCCAAGAAGAAGGAATAAGTAAGAAAGAAGAAGGAAGAAGGAAGAAGGAAGAAGGAAGGGTTTGTAAGAATTTCGTTTACCCGAAAAGAAGGAAGAAGGACATGTTTTTTCTGACAGTGAGTGAGTGATTGATTTTTTAGAGTCATGGTAAGAGTTTCTTCTTTTCAAATTAGAAAATGAGAGAAACAAATTTGAGAATTTGGAGGCAATGCTTTAGGTTAGACGAAGTTAAGGAAGTGACAAAAGTTAAAAAGTTAGAAATTATAAGAAGGAAATGAATTTCACTTTTTATTAATAACTGATTTTTTTACTTACAAATTGTACATTTATATGTATAAACCCCTAACACAAAAAATAGGTTTAGAAATAAATAGCAAAATCTCTGTTCTATTTAAGATGTCATATAGGGTTATGTTTTAACTTTTTCATGTAATTTTATAATAAATATATATAAGTAAAATAATTAAAGATTATGTTGAATTGTAAAAGTATAAATGATGAATATTATCTTGAAATTTGGAAATGAGAAGAACAAAATATTTTAAAAATGCTATACTTAAAAAATATGAAGAGTATAAAAAATGTTATTAGTTATGTGAAGTTAAGTTATGAATAATGATTAGATTAGCAAGTTTTGGTCTCATGTTTGTATTAACATACTAATGTATGTGTTGATCAAAAGGTCAACTTTTAATTATAATGACCAAACAAACCAGTATCCTTTTTGTAATCCAATCATGCTAATTCCATCATAAGCCATACACCACCATCCTTCCTTACAAGTAACACTCTAAACCCAAACTCATCACATGTCATCAACTTTCCATTAATGTGATAGAAAAAAAAATCAAAGATAAAATAAGTGCATTTAGCATAAGAAACACATGAAAGTAACGAACAAAAACAACATGTTTTGATTAAATTAATCAAACTTTAAAATACAAGAAAAACAACATGTTTTGAAGAGAAAAAGAACAATACTAGAAAGAATAAAAAAGTATAAATAATAAAAATAGTTATACTCAAAATAAAATTTCACAATGCAAATTATAAATATATTTCTCAAAAGAATTTTATTTAAGTTATTATAAGCACTATTGTTATCACTAGAATTTGGAGAGTCTTAGACAAATTGTTATATAAAAATGAAAAATCTTATTTTTGTGGATATTTTTAGGAATGAAATGACATCTAAATATTAGATATATATTAGATAAGTCTCTATAAAAGAAAGAAAAATATAGAAATAAAATATAAAATTATAATAATATAAGAGTAAAAAAGAAAAAGATATTTCCTTTAGTAAAATATATATTTATAAATCTTTGAACCTTACATATAAGATTGAGTGACAAAAAAAATCTTCCTATTCTTTATTAAAGTCCCTAAACTCCATTGTTAACATTTGTATGTTAACTAATATACATGTTCCATAGTTTATTTTTATAATCATATCATACTATTTACTTTTAAATTGCGTGAATAAATATAAAAGAATAATTTTACTTATTACACTAATAGGGATAAAAAAAGAGCTCATATCAGTTGTAAAAAATGGATAACTTAAAAGATAAAAACAAAAGTCAAGGGATTTTATTAAAAAAACAAACAAATAAATTATATATTTTTAAAGTGATATTTTTTAAAAGTAAAAAGCTTTTTTTATATAATGAACATTAAGCGTAAAATTTAATATTGACAAAATGTACTAAAATTAATTAAGCAGTTTTTTGGTAGAATAAAAATGTAGGTAAAAAATATAAAAAAAAGGTAATTTTGAAAAAATAAGAACCAAAGAGAGGAGAAATAAAAAAAAAATATCTACTTTTAAATGATATATATTATATATGAAAAACTCAAATATTTATTCATAGAAATCCTCTCATAATGATTTTTTTTTTCTTTCTAAAACCAAATGTTTTTTCTATTGAAATGTAAAAATCCACATTATACACAATTATCTATTTTCTATTTTCTATTTTGTAATAACATATTTCAAAATTGATTGAAAGAAAGTAAACAAATTTTTATTTTTGATAAAATAATTTTGCCACACAAAAGTAAGCAGTGAGGTGACATTAGATTTTTTTTGTGTACGGACATCCTAAACAGATGTTTTTTGTCGGATTAAGTGGCAGAGTTAAGCTTACCTTCCTCCACCAATAAAAATTTATAGCACTAAAATTTATTTCTGACAACAAACAAATAGGGTTTTTCTTCATCCATCTGCTTCCCAAAATCCTTCCCATAAATTGTTTGTGGTGTTGAACCTTATTGTTTTAATGAACCAACCAAGTGGTTCTCACATCTGTTACGATGGGATTTGTCACTGTTTGGGATCATATATTATACAAATATCAATTTATCAAAATTCAATCAAAACCGCCTTCCAAGTCCAACATGTGAATCCAGCAGCATTAAAAAACCAGACATCCCCACCACCACGCCCTTCTGTTTCCCTATGTAACTTCCAGAACTTTCCCACCCACTTTCTCTCTCTCTCATCCACTTGCTATTTGCGGAAGATGGTTAAATAAAACAAACCATATTGCTTCCAACAAGTCTAGAATCTTCTAATTTACTCTTTTGTTTTTATTTTGCACATAATAATTTCATTTTCTGATACACTCCACTCTTAATCTCTCTCTCCCTACATAAACACTCATGACACTTCATCACCTTTCTTCTTACATAGGCTTGTATGTGTTTGACAAATAAACACCCTATCCTGTTTTTAACTGCTCAAACGACTTTCCAAACAAGGAAACAGAGTCCTCTGCATTCTTGCTTCACAAACCAAACTCCAAACCTTCACTTTTTCTCTACTTTTCTCTCTTTTCTAATTCAAACCCCTTTCACTGTCCTCAATTTCTGCCCCATTCGGATTACGCTGCACTATATCTGCTTTATCTCTTCTTCTCTTTCTTTTATTCTCCTCTGTTTCCATGTTTTTTTTTCTTCTCTGCTTCATGTCAAATTCATCCATAGTTTCTACATATGAACAGACCTCACAAACATTAACCTGAAGCCAAGAGGGAATTGAATTAACATATCCGACCGTACATATCGAATTTGTTTATTCTTCAAAATGAACTATTTGTACCCTGTGAAAGAAGAGTACTTTGAATCTCCACCGCCGTCCTCCTCATCGTCGCCAACGTCTCAAACAGGAGGTGATGAGTCAGCTGTGGTTTCTCTTCCTAGGCCAATGGAGGGGCTTCACGAAGTAGGGCCACCTCCATTTCTGACCAAGACTTATGATGCCGTGGAGGACCCTACCACTAGCCACATAGTTTCATGGAGCAGAGGTGGTTCCAGCTTTGTGGTTTGGGATCCTCACGCTTTCTCCAGAGACCTTCTCCCTCGATACTTCAAGCATAACAATTTCTCCAGCTTTGTAAGGCAACTAAACACTTACGTAAGTCTTCTGTTTACCACCATCTTCTTCACTGTTTCCTTCTGGTTTTATGGGAAAGTGCAGTTTCACAAGTATTTTCATGGTGTTCTCTTATTAGAATTGTATTTCTATATTTAATGAAAACTTCTTGTAAGTCAATTAATTGAGAAAATTTTTCAATTTCATTGAAAAACTGTACAAGAAATATCTATGAAACTGTATATTGAATGGATAAGTAATACTCCAATTAAGAAACAATCTTTTTCTTTGAATGAAAGATAAGTCTATCTCTCTCTCTCTCTCTCTCTTTTGTGCTAGCTCTTTGTAGTGGAATATAATTTCACTGTTCTATCATTTTAAATTTTATTTCTTCCTTGTCACAGTGGTAAGTTTTCATATTTTTTTATTATTAAAACGGGCTACAAAATTTATTATATGTTACTGTAGTATTTAAATATTCAAAGTCAGATGTTATCTAGTGGGTTTTTTTCAAGATTTCTAGATCTCTCTATTCTCCTATCGCTCTCTCATTCATTCTGCTGTGGCCTGCCACAGTGGTACAGTTTGGCATCAAGCTCCATCAATTTGTTCATTTTCTATCATAATAATTATAGCAGTTATGGTTTCAATGTATTGAGCGTGTATTGTACTAAATATGGGGTTCAATTTCATAGGGTTTTAGAAAGATTGATCCCGATAGGTGGGAGTTTGCAAACGAAGGATTCCTGAGAGGGCACAGGCACCTTTTGGCAAACATAAGGAGGAGAAAGCAACCTTCTCAGCCTTCCACTTCTCAACAAGGACAAGGTCACTGTGTTGAAGTTGGTCGTTTTGGACTTGATGGAGAGGTTGATCGCTTAAAGCGTGACAAGCACGTGCTGATGATGGAGCTTGTGAAGCTGAGACAGCAGCAGCAGAATACGAGGTCGTACCTTGAGGAAATGGAGGAGAGGCTACGAGGGACAGAAATTAAGCAGCAGCAGATGATGTCTTTCTTGGCTAGAGCTTTGAAGAACCCCACCTTCATCCAGCAGCTACTCCAGCAGAAAGAGAAGAGGAAGGAGCTTGAAGAGGCAATGTCGAAGAAGAGGAGAAGACCGATCGAGCAAGGACCAAATGGGGTTGGAGAATCAAGCATTGGAAGGGAAGGAAGAAGCAGCGTTAAAGTGGAGTTCCAAGTGTTTGGGGAATATGGATTTGGAGTCTCAGAGTTGGAAGTGTTGGCTTTGGAGATGCAAGGTTATGGTAGGGGAAAAAGGGAACAAGAGGAAGAGCCCGAGGCACTAGAATCACAGGAGAGGTTGGAGAAAGAGCTCGATGAAGGTTTCTGGGAAGAACTGTTCAGTGAGGGTTTTGAGGGTGAATTAGATATTCCAACTTCACAAGACCCAGATGACGAAGAAGATGTCAATGTTTTAGCCAATCGCTTTGGTTACTTAGGGTCAAGTCCTAAATGAACCGCATAGGATCATGATGAGTAAACCTTGAATTGGTTCACTAGGTTCAAGTAGTGTGGGTTTTTCATTAACAGGAAGCACTCCTATGGTGAAGGGCATCTCATTTGGCAGGATATACATGGAAAATGATTTACTTTTTGGTGTTTCTAACCCCCATTATATGATCATGTACTTTTGTAGCACTCGGTGGAACCTCAAGTTTTCTCACATTTCGATCTCTATGTTTGATTAGGTAGGTTGCAGCTGTTGCTTGGACAAGAATCTGTGGTAGTGATAGCGAAAGTTATTTACTCAAAGGTTCAGTTTAATGTTTTGTTTCCATTTTAACCACTGAAAACCCCACTTTGTAATGCACCTATAGCAACCCAGCAATGGTTTTTGCCTCTTTGTTGTTTTGATTATATTACCTTAACGAATGTAGATTATTCAGAAGCTGTAGAATGGATACGAAGTAGCTGATCTCCAAGAATCATAACTGATTGTTGCTTTTGAACCAAGATCCAGTTGGTGGTTAACCTTGTCGGTTTGATTTTTTCCCCTTCCTATACTTTTTCATTGCGTGAGCTTCCTCGTGTGGTTAGAAATAAACCGAGGCCACCCGACCAATTTCATGATGTTACAATTAGGTCTTTCAAGATTCCGTTTCACGTTTAAAGCTTAAAAAAACAAAGTAACAAACACAGATGTGGAGCTCTCACTCATCCCACAGAAACGTGTCAAGAGTCTAGGGCATAATCAAATAATGGAAAGTGATAACTTTTAGCTCTAGTTGATGCATTGACAACAAACCTTTGGATTCTTGTCCTGGTGCCCTCTCTCTACTTACTACTGCTAGGTATTCAATCGCATGGCTCCAAATGTCAATTAATATCCTTCTGATGCTATTTTTTTTCCCTTTTTATTTTTTAGTATTGTGATTGAAAGTTATGAAAATGCTAACATTATAACTTTTTCTATATATTTTTTTTTTGCTATTTGTTGAGTCGTGTTTCATTTCAACTACTTACAGTAAACTGACTCGATTGTTTATAGAAATAATTGCTTATTGTAAACTTAGGATAAACCAGAAATTCAATAGTTAATAACAAAATTAATATATGAGTTTGGAGTTTACTCAGTTTACTAGTTAAACCACAAATTTAGTTGCATCTTAAAGGAAATATAGGAGATTTTAGTTATAAAGAAAGTACATTATAAGGATTACAAAATTAGCATACAAAAAATTGAAATGTGAATAGAGTATGCTTGTTATAAAGAAAATACATTATTTGACTTTTTTGATATAATACTTAAAAGTTGTAATGTAAGCCATTATCTCATTCATAAATATTGATGGTTAGCCATTAATTTCTAAAACGTGGGATTGTCTTTCATTAACCATACAAAGAATTTTGATGATGGTTATATCTGGTGAGAGTAATGGAAATGTACAGTGTTAAGTAGGTTACTAAGCATAAATTTTCACATTCATTATTTTCTCCGTCCGACCTCCTTCAATAATTACTATATAAGTGTACTTTTCAATGGCAAACAATGATCTCATGCATGTGAATCATAAAGCTATATCCATAAAATTAAAGGTCATTGCGTGCACATGTTAGTAGAAGCTGTATTTATGTGTAAAATTATAATTTATTCCAAGATATTATATTCTTTTAAACCAGTCTCCTTTTTAGAGTTTACATTTCTCTGTTATAATATACAAATAAATGTTGACCGTGACTGCTAAGAAAATTGAATAAACATTAATTCCAGGTAAATTATTGTTTCTAAAAGTTTTAGTTTATTCATAGTGAAACCCTATTTAATATGTAAAATTAGATCATTATATTTAAAAAAAAAAGAGTGTATTTATACTTACAGTTACTTTTAAAAGTTTGAGACGCTTATGTAATGCGAGGTTAGGATATGTTCCATTCTGAAACTATTCTGTTGGTAGAGAAATTGACAAGCATTCATTTGAATGGTTACAACTGTCTTCCATTTTTTTGTGAAGAAGATTGGGGTTTCTTTAAAATAGAGTAAATTGTAACGGATAAAATTGCAAAATTACAATTACTGAATAAAAAAATAATGATTGAAATTATGATAATTGTTAAGGTAATTTTATTTTCTTATTGATGCTATTGTGCAGCAGCATCTATATTACATATATAATTTCTTTTAGAACTAAAATTAATAGGCATATTTATATTTGAAACTTCTAGCTCAAATGATGGGAAAAGACTAGATTTATCCAAAGTTCCTGTGGCAACCTAGATTTCAAATATTGTTAGTGATAGATTTTTTACCTGCGCTTTGGTTTATCAAATTTATTACATGACATATAATATTGTATATCTCTTCACTTGTTTCTCCTATAATTTCTTGAAAAATTATCAAGACTTCTCTGTCTATGAGATTAGATTAGTATATCCTTTCAATATGTAGTAGTCATGTGTATGTCATCAAGACACTTAATATCCATATATTACCCTTAATAATAATTAATGTAGTAACTTAATTCCTAATATAAACAACTTCTTGACAAATTTAATAAAGAATCTATGCAATATTGTGGTTCATACATTCTAGAATGTCAATATCTTATACCTGGTATTCCTCATTTGCACGTGTATGAGTATCCTTCCTTAAAAAAAAACATGTTTTAGCACAATGAATTATATGTAATATTTTAAATTTTATAGAGACTATCTTCCACGGAGATTTTATTTTTTCTTATATAACAGTTTTATTTTTAATTTACAGAAATAGCATACTCTTGCTAATATTTACATAGATAATTTTGTAAAAGTTCAACGTTCCGTATTGTTCGAAAAATGTTGAAGGGTTAAAAAGATTTTGAAAACTGTTAAAGGATATATTAACTTTTAATATATTTTTAAAATTTTGCTTTTAATTTAAAATTAATAATTAATTAATTTATTTTAATATTATTTAATATGTTATATTATATTCAATCAAATTTTACATTATTATTATTCATATTTTAAATTGTTTTTAGTTTTATTATTACAATTATAATTTTCATATTAATTATTAAAAAATATGTTAAACTTCACAATTTTAAAAAATATGTTAAACAAAATTAACATATTTTTTAAAATTTTGTTTATTGATTTAAATTTTAATTAATAATTAACTTATTTTAATATAATATTTTTGAATTTAACAAATTTCTTAAATTAATTTTGTTATAAAATTTAGAAAATATTTAATTTATTTTAATATAATTTAATATATGTTATTTTAATAATTATTATGAAAATATAATTGTAATAATAAAACTAAACAAATTAAAAATATGAATAATAATAATGTAAAATTTGATTTAATATAATATAACATATTAAATAATATTAAAATAAATTAATTAATTATTAATTTTAAATTAAAAACAAATTTTTTAAAATATGTTAAAAGTTAATATATTCACAACGATTAAGCCTGTTTTCGAACAATTTTTTAAAATCGTTAAAGTTTTAAACGGTTTTTGAAAACAGTTAAGAATTTTTAATAAAGAACAAAATCAGAATTTGATTTTCAAAAAATCGAATTCTAACATTTGTATAAATTTTGAAATAAGAACTCACAGTTCAATTTACAAAAACATGTGCCATGCGTGTATATATTAGTTATAATATGGTATAAATTAAAAATAAAACTGTTATATAAGAAAAAAATCCTTCCACGGAAGCCTGTTATATTGTCCAATCAATATTGACCTGTCGAAATACCTGTTGCTGTTAGTAGAAAGGTGCCAGTCACATATGATAGATCCTTATTTAGAGTATGTTTTTTTTTTTAAATAAAATAAAATAAACTACAAAAAAATTAAAGTTATTTTATATATAAGTTAATTCATAAATTTTTTCCATATAAATTTTAAAAATATGATTTTTAACTTGGGTTATAAATTAATTTTAGTTTATATTACTTGATTCTTTCTTTAAAAAATGAGCATGAAAAAATTATTAAAGTAAACTTTAATTACATATCTTCTCATAGTATTCTCTAATAAGGTGTCCAATAACATAGTATACATTAAACAAATTCCCATGCATTGGTATTATTAAAAATTAACATTATTAACCGACAAAAACTTTATGACAGATGTAAGAAATTACTTTGTATTAAGACTCATGAGTTGTGAGATATTTTATATTAAAGTTAATATTATTTTATTAACTAATTTTTTTAAAATTGAATTAGGTTTAATGTTTACTTTTTAAAATAATATTAAAATTTTGTTGTTTTTTCCGATTTCTATTAGATTATTCATTGTATCTAATCTTATGTTCAAAATTAATATATCAATACAAAATTTCACCTTACAATATATATATATATATATATATATATATATATATATATATATATATATATAAAAGTGAGGTAAATTTCACAAAACAAATCAATTTTATAAAATGGAATTAGATTTAAAATATTTTTCTTAAGAATAATAATAATTAAGATAAGTTAGCAATATAAAAAATCTCACTGTCTATGCACTATGTATTTTATACTTTAGGTTATAAGCATTGTTAATTTGCCAACCTCTTTTCTTTCTTATTTGTTTTGTGGTGAAACTTAATGCCTGGATGTTGATATTATCATCTCTCTCCATCTAAATGTTGCGCACTAAAATTGGATCCCTTTAAGAGAATAAAACTAAAAGTGTAAAGTATTGGTGCTGTTCTCCACTTGTGGAGAAAATTTAGTGTGTAGAGTGCAGAAGACTGGATCTATGTGACAGAATAAAAATAAATTGAGAATAAAACATGGACCATATTATAAGAACATGTATGAATATCTTGCCATGTACTAGTATGAATACCACACAATTTTATGTATTGGTGGATTCGTTATTACGTAGCAATGATACCGAATGGACTGGTTCACACACTTGGATGACACAATTTATACAACAGGAGGAATATCATAAAGATGCAAACATTTACCTAAGCTACATGATATTTCATATTCATGCTTAAGCTCATACGAAACCACGTGGCTTTTCTTTTTTTATGCTACAATCTTCCTCTATGTGTTGAAGATTGCTTTTCTTGTCGTTTTCGTTCTGCATTTGGTCGAACAATTACATGCATGGCAGAGACAATAGAAAAGTACATATTTGTTAAAAAAAACATTATAAAAAAAATCAAAAGGAAAATGATTGCTTAGCTGATGTATTTCTTTCTACTTTGAGGTCATTTCATCACAAAACAACCAAGAGAAGAGATTGGACAATTCCTTAAAATTTGATATTATGTTCCTGGTTCTAGGATTGTGATGGTTTTTTTTCGAAGAGAGAAATTAGGATTGTGTCTGCTTTGTAACTGCTTATAAATGGAAGACACGATAATTGTTTTTTTTTAATGTACAATCAATGTTATTTTTT